GGCAACATAACAGCAAAGCGACTGTGTTGCGTTTATCTGTGCCACACTCTGTGCCCTTAAATAAAATAGGTAAGGACGTTTCTCGTGTCTCTATCCGAGTACACTAATCAGTGATTGCAGTCAACACTATTGATTCATCTCTGACTGCAAGTCATGTAAGTTTACAAAGGACTCAATTTCATCCTGATCGACGAAAACTTTGAAGATACCCGAGTCATCTCCGGCCTGACACGGAGACTAGGACAAGCCTTCCGGGACCATTAAGAGACGGCCTGGTACCCCGGCCGTCGGCCCTGACGGCCTGGTACCCCGGTACCTCGCCGCTGACCCGGGTCGACCCGCTGACCTGGCCTGACCTGCCCTACCGACCCGGGCCGCGATGCGGGAATGAGCCAGCCGGGTCAGCGGCGGCTGTCTGGCTCAGGTGATGGAGCTGGCGTAGACGGGCAGGAGCGCCCTCGCTGCTCGGCAGCGTCACTCTCCGCTCCGATCGACGAGACCATTCACAGGCACTCCTATCTCAAGAGCTGAACATGCTGGAGCGACGCAAAACAACAGCGTCGGATAGTTCGCATGAAATGTCACCAGATATCAGTGTTGATGCAAGTGGGCTTGAATGACGCAAACCCAGGGATGTGGTAGCTTACAAAAAGGCGGGGGCTGAAACGTACGAGATATTCATTAAGTTCACCACTGTCGCTATGGGGATAGTGATAAATGTCTCCCCCAGGGCAGGTGTGTGTGTGGAGGCAAGGGGGGGGGGAGGGAGCAAAGCAGGGTTCACCAAAGTTGGAACGCGCCGCCGCCCGTTACCCTGTCTTTCTATGCCAAAGACAATCAGTACAGGATCAAAACTAGTATCTAAACTAGGTATTCCTCGTGGACTGTGTACTTACTCTCAGGCATCTTAAGGGACTTTCACGTTGGACGATGCGTGACATTATTATCTTCTTCTTTTGCCGACGCCAATTCGCCACACGCGACTCATGGCCCAGATTGTATGGGCGCCAACAAACATTACCACAAAAAGGCTGCGACAAATTTTGGCAATGGCAGACGTAAGAGTCGCGTTTAATGCAGACAAAACATTAAAGCAAACATTCCCGAAAAGAATTATAACTAACACACCGAAGCTGCCTTTTGGCGTTGAACCTATCGAAATTATAGCTAGGTGCAAACATTGGGGATAACGTTTTCTAGAAACTTAACGATTTCATAACCCCATCAACGAAGTAACGCTAAAGATGTAGATCGAGCCTTTTCTGCTTGGTGTCACTCGTCTTACTCCAATTCCACTTTTACGCCAATCAACTCTTATTCCTGTTGAATTTTGTCGCTCAATCTTTTTCGTTCCATTTGTTTCCATTCCATTGTTTCCATTCCTTTCCATTTGACTTTTTGTCCAGACAGCAGCTAGCTCGAGACATCCGGCAGTGCTCAGCATGTGCGCAGCTAAGAAATGCATGTGCCATGCAAAGAAACACAGGTGGGTGAAGGGGAGCTAGGAGGGATCGCCCAAGGACTGTGTTTCGTTGCCCAATGGCACATAATAGCGAATAATGCGTGGTAGTGGGCGACACTTTCACAGGGAAACTATGCAAGCAAGACGGGTCGTCAATTTATTTGATTTCGTATGTATGAGCGTTCGAGGAGACCATGACGAAGTTTGCGTTCGGAAAAAGCGTCGAATAGCAGTTTGCCAAATGCCTTTTAGTGGACTGCTAACTGCCATGTATAAAGCTCTACATGTCAAAAAGACGAATCGGCTGAATGGCAAACTGCAAAATGGTGCCACTGTCTGTGTTTGTGATACACTACTCCCATTTCAGGGCTAGGGGTTCTGAATCTCAGGGCATCGGATGAGGGAGGCGTGTTACGACGGCTGCGGGAACCTCGCATTACAGGACACGCAACGCATCGTGTGTTGCATGTATTCCATTCAGTGCGGTACACCCGCACTCACGCTCCCAACCGTGGTGAAGGGTGAATTCGGTGGCAGGTTTTTGCGGTGCCGACGGTCACTTGTCAGGCATAGAATCAGGCCGATGCGACGCCGTCGGTCACATGTTGTCAGTTTCGGTGTCGGCCTGGTGTGCCATGGTGTCAGACGTGGTCGGTCGTGATGTCAGGTCTTACTTTTGATCCTGCCGCACCTGCTCAGCTCTCGGATGTGGTTTCAACCACTGTTTTCTCATCTTTCATGCAGGGCCATCACAGGACTACTCAGGCGGTCCTGCGTGACGTCAGTCGATCCTGCGGGATATCAGTGTGTCCCGTGTGGCGTCAGTCGGTACTGCGTGACGTTAGTCAGTCCTGTGTGACGTCAGGTCCTGCTTCAGGCGGTCCTGCGTGACGCCAGTCGATCCTGCGTGATATCAGTGTGTCCTGTGTGGCGTCAGTCGGTACTGTGTGACGTTACTCAGTCCTGTGTCACGTCAGGTCCTGCTTCAGGCGGTCCTGCGTGACGTCAGTCGATCCTGCGGGATATCAGTGTGTCCTGTGTGGCGTCAGTCGGCACTGTGTGACGTTAGTCAGTCCTGTGTGACGTCAGGTCCTGCTTCAGGCGGTCCTGCGTGACGTCAGTCGATCCTGCGGGATATCAGTGTGTCCTGTGTGGCGTCAGTCGGTACTGTGTGACGTTACTCAGTCCTGTGTCACGTCAGGTCCTGCTTCAGGCGGTCCTGCGTGACGTCAGGCAGCTTACGTGGCGTCATTCGCCGCCCATGCCCGGGCTGTTGCCGGTGGCTTGCACGGAGCTTTCCCCAGTCCCCGCAGCGCGCCGAGCGTGTGGCATTGCCCTCGTGCGGGCACGTGACAGTGGCTGCTAAATGCTGGCACAGAGCAGGCGCAGATGCTCGCGTGCTGGGCCACATTCAACTTCGATCATACTCATGCATTTCGATAGTGTGGAGATGCATTGGCAATAGACGGAAAGCTTCCGTGAATATGAATGAATGATTTCCCCATTCCCAGCAAGCATAAGAGAGTTTCAGGAAGGTACGAGACCATCGAGTTGATTGCAAAACGCCCGGTCTTCCCGCACTCACTGTAGCAATGAAACGCGAGTCCCACAGCATTTGACGCGTTGCGAACATTTAATTTCACGGTACAGCCCAGCTGCAGCCCACCAACAACATTTCCGATGGGTGCAGTTGCGTGGCGTTGTATGGGCAGCGGGCCACGTTGGTTGCGCATCTAATCCTATTGCCATCCTGTTGGTTGCGAAACGCAGGTGGTCCGTCAACCGTGCCATCGAGATTCAAGGCGGACCGCGAGCAAACCGCGTCGCTTTATTGGTCACAACCTCTTGTCCTCAACTGGCTTCACCATTCCGGCTTTCATCTTCCAGCGACATGACATGCGCACGCATAGCTCAGAATCACAACCTCGTTGCCTGACGTGCGCTAAAAACCTCACATTTTTGCTCAGTGCGTAACATGTTGGTAGACATTTGGTAATGCGAGTCGCGGCATCGACTCCGGTGTGTGGCGTGTCACCGCGGGGCCCCTGGATGCATGATGACGTGTTGATCTCATCTGGTGTCTTGCGACCTGGTGAGCCGACTGCTGTACGGATGTACGCAGGGGTCGTCCGACCTGTCTCTTGTAGACCGCGATAACTACCTGGACTCTCCAGAAAGGTGCAGGCAGCTCTCGTGAGACAGGGTGCTGTAGCGCTGACAGAATGCATTACTTAAGTTCGCTCTTAACAAAGCTTCAGGAAAGCACGTAATATAAGAAACCTATTTACCGAACGCTTCCAGTCCTAAGATACGCCCGCCACGTTTTCATGCGATGACGGTTAACATTGCCCGTAGTTGTTCGGATGTTCCTCCACAATCCACGGAGAGTCGTGTGAACACAGGACTGGGCTGTGACTGGAGCATGTCTGCATCATTCGTAGGCAAATTCCTTTCCCATTCCTGGAAGGCAGAGTGTGACAACCTGAAACAGAAATCAGGAATTAATTAGCTCAGTACCAAAGTAGCGGCCATCCTCAAGGGGCATGTTTTGTTGTAATAAACGCCACTTTGAGCTTACAAATGACGCAGACGACTGGTGGGCACACCCTAAGCCGCAAGGGTGACGGAGGTAGTAGAACAGAGACGGCCCTATAACGATTGAGACATAGCTTTGATAGCATGAATCCAGTGCTTCGGGATTGTCGTCAATCTAAATGTAGGGTGTTTTCACACTCCCACGGCATTTTTTTCCATGCATGCACCAACACTGGAAAGCGACAGAATGCCGTCAAAAATGTCTTATATTTTCACCGCGGCTTATAAATAGAGCAGCCATTTTTATTCCATGCGAGGATTGCAGTACCTGTATAACTACGCACGCCCGCTACCTGTCATGAGTGATACAGCGTTGGTGACGCGCGCAAGCCCAGCAGTCAGTAGTCAGCCTGCCTAACCTGACGCAGCTTTCCGGCTGTGGCATTGATACCAGCGCGAACCGTATTGCCAATGGGTACAGTTTGCAAGAAAAACGGTTGTTCTCCCAGAAAAATGCACGCAGATGGATGTCAGTATCCGTTACTTAACGTTTGTAGATCTCTAGGCCTGTACAAAAGCAATAACATGCTTCCTTTCCGAGCTTCCTGATCGCTGCAGGCTGTAGGCAACCGCGCTTCATAGAGGGTCGTAAGGAAGCTGAGTGTGGCGAAGACCCACCTGGTTTTGTTGTCGGACGCACTGCTCAGGCGGCACTGGATCGCCGTAGCGGACCACGACCGGGTCGATGGGTGCCTCCACCTCCAGCACGCGGATGCTGGGCACGGTGGCTGACCGCCAGGTGGCGGGCTGGGCTGGCCGGCAGGTGGCGGGCCGAGCGGGCAGACTAGCGCGGCGGCTGTTTGCGCCCAGGTCCAGGAAGCGCCGTCGCAGCCAGGCAGGGTCAGGGTCGCCGCGGAGGTCCGGCTCGCTGGCGGAGCTGGCTAACGCCGCCGCTCCCGCCCCGCGGCTGCACCCAGGGCCCGCGCTGGGACCGGGACCGGTGAGCAGCTGGTGGGCCTCCAGCAGGCGGGCGCAGGCTGGCCAGCCGCACATGTAGGCCCACTCGGCGCTGGTCAGAGCGCGCCGGGGGTCCCGGGCCGCTGGGTCAGCACCTGTCACCACATGACAGTTCGTCAGCGGGCAACGCCGCTGTCGCTGCTCTATCCGCCACCGCCGTATGCTGCTGACGAGTTTGAGCGCGATTTTTTTCATACAATATCGCCACCCGACCGAACGATTGTCTGCAGACAGATTGTACCCAGACTTGCGAGAGCTCGGTAGCAGGTAGCTGGAGGTTATTTGGATACTCTGTGTGAGTGTGCTACACATTACCTTTTTCTACAAGCAGCTTTGCACATCTTGCCTTGCCTTGAACGCATGCCTTGATGAGGGGAGTAATGCCTTGCTTATTTCTGGCATCCACTTCAATGCCGTCAAACTTGTTGAGCAATGCGCTTACTACTTCGGCGTGCCCTGGAGGAACGCTCTTATATCAGGACGAACACAGTCTCATTCAACACTGGTTGCTTAAGAGTTAATCAAACAATGGCGTCAATCGAAAAAGGGTTATGAATAATCGTCCTCAGAAAATAACGGACGTCACAAATAAGACCAGCATACAAATCATTCACAATCAAACTGTACCTCTCCGCTGCAGACTAATATGCATGTTCAGGAGGCTGCAAATATTAAATCCACATGCTGTGCCGAAAAGGCTTCCTGGCTATAGCCTAGTCGCTCAATCCAAAATGTCACGTTCTTCCTTCTTCAAAATGTCATTGTTTCACTTCGTCGAACTCCTCATCGGCCAACGTGACTTGACATATTGGAGGGGTCACTTGATGGTGCATCCTGAGTCACGGAGGCGCTATTCCTGTGGTGTCCCGACATGACGGAGTGATCCTTAAGTCGCGAAAGATCACCTATCGATGCGTCCGCGCAAGACTGAGACGAGGCTGAGACAGAGACTGACTGAGGCCGTGTTCTGAACATACCGCTCACTCAGCAATGTGTTTTGACCTTATATGGGGGTCGCTGACTGATGCCGCCGCGGTCGGACCACGTGCACGCCCTAATTTGCACGTCCTGAGTCTGTCCTCACGTGGGGTTAATGACCGCTGCGTTCTGACCTAAACATGGGACCCCAACCAATCTCTCCGACCTCACAGTGGTGTCACTGGCCGCCGTTTCCCTGACCTGGCGGGATCACTGACCTGCCTGGGCGGCGTAGTGCAGCGGGGTGTTGCCGTCGTTGTCCCCGAGGTTGACATTGGTGAGCTTGAGTCGGGAAAAGTCCTCAACGCACCGGCTGCTGCCGTGGCCGCACAGGTGGCTCAGTGGGTCTGGTGGAAATGAGCGAGGTCGTGCTATAGCCTGCTGTGGCTGCAAAGGTGGCTCAGTGGGGTCTGGTGCACCGATCGAGGTCGTGCTATACATAGGCTGCCGTGCCCGCATTGTGTTCCGTCTAAGTTTTATCCACTACCGGTCGTGAAACAGGCAGGCAACTCCGTAATTTAAGGTTGGTATTCCACAAGCTGTGGTCATGTGGCTTACTTTGCCATTTCACTGTACTCTGTTGGCTTGCACTGCAGACCTTGGTCATCAGAGCGCATGGGATTGCAAACGAAACTCCACGTCATGAAAATAGGTGTCAAGTTTATTCTATACATGTATCACATAGGTATGACGTTAAACAATCAAGGAAAGTGGATGGGGCTTCGCCAACCAGGGTCTCCTATTTGTACGGCTGTTCACAGAAAATTCAGAGCCCGTTTTGCGATTGGCAAAACACCCATACCTTCTTTTTAGTACCTGGTGCGCACATTCCAACGCGGGATATACGTTGTATTCCTTTGTTTTGGCACGATCTAGTCAGCTCCAGTTCTTGCTTCTCATTAGTCCCTTGGTGACATTGCCAATAGCGGCCCACCATTGTTTCACGTATAATTTTCGTATCATGTGTTTTGTTTTTGCGTGTTTTTTCTAAATTATCCATATCTCGCTTTTGGGCGGCTACCTCATGCAGCCTTATGTATGTCATGGTGGCGCCGGGTTATTTTTCCATGTCGTTGTCTACGAACAATTTGACTCTTTTAGGCCTTAATGCGGCTAGGAAGGGTCGCAAGCGAGAATGAGGGGCCGGGGCAGAAGATGACTTCCCCTAAAGATGCCGTTTTGGAAACCTCGTCGAATCATGATGAATGTAACCAAATGTTTGACCTTAGGTCGATTTGAGGTCACTGGGTATCACAAAAGGTAAAAAAACGGTCGCTCCGTTATGTGCTATGCCATCACGTCAAGACGGATATTGAGGGCAGGGAAACAACGTTAAGACTGTGAGGAGCCCATTCCGATCATTTCTGCTCCCACCGTGTAGGAGTGTGATATCAGGCTACCGTTTAAAACTGGTTTACCAGTGGCCTGCACGAATAATACTTTACTCCTCCATGTGCCTCTGGATACGTTCATCTTAGTAGGTGCAACCGTTTGTGAGAAGCATTTCGACATAAAAATGTAATGTCAGATTGTCATAGAGATTCATCTGAGGTCAACTTAGCTCAAAGCTACAAACCCATCCAAATGAAACAATTTGAAGCACTAACCGGGTTTATGCGACCAGAAAAGTGTTTTTCTGTAGTCAGAAGAAGTGCATTGTACATCTACAGGTACTCAAGATTGCATAGCTGATGTCTACTATACACAGTTTCTTCGACGCCGACAGCATATTTGTAACGAAGTAAGAGCGGGTATGCTGGTACATGAAATTAGACGTCATCGGCTTCACAAACACGATAAGGTGGGGGGGGGGGGGGGGGGTTACTCGCGGCGCACTCGCTCATTTGATCTGTGCTACTGGCAACATAGGTCATTTACCTTGGATAACCTCATATGACCTTGCATGCTCTCACATAATTATTGTGACCTCATTGTGCATAAGAATAGCATCACAACATGCTTTCAGTCGAGCGTTCAAATTCGGCGTCCAAAATTGCCTTTGAGGGCAACTTTTACTGCATATTCTAAGCTTAGCATGTGTTTTGCAGTAAGTATCAGTGGGGTAAGATCATGACCTGGGCCAAGGTCATGTGCTCTGTGTTCACATGATGGTTGTGTATGTTAGGTGAGCATTTTTTCTTTGCATACAAACTCCAAAAAAGTACACAAAAATACACACAAATTTGCATGGTTTACGAAAAATAGCAAAAATATACTTGGACCTCAGGTCACTAAATTCACATATTCCCCCCAAAAAAATGGAATATAAGCAGGGCTGGTAGGCGCTACGATATTCTCTTACTACGAGTTTGAATGATGGTAGATAAGCCACAACAAGTTGTCATCAATTTTTTTAGAGGCTGACTTCTTTGATGTGACCTAGGTCACGGCTCTTGCTATACCAAAACTTCTAGTCTGTTCAAAGGATGTCAGATTGAGCGATAAATAGGTGCTCAAAATTTCGTGCTTCTGCACGCGTTTATTTTTTTACCTGTGCTCGAAAAAACTGCAATGGGAAGTCAACTCCCCGGCCAGGCGCGGTTTAAAGGGAATGTTTCACGTTTGCGTATACGGCGAAATTGCTTCACTTCTAACTTTCGGGATTCTTTTAAGCCTTAAAGACTGCTATAGACAAAACAATTTCATTGTTTAGTACAGATGCTGTTCAGCGTGTCATCGTTTGATTACGTCGTGGAGCGTCTTTACCGCGTCAAGCCACTGTTGGACTGGTCGTGTCAAGTTGGGTATCCGGACCCTGGGATTCAAGTTCCAGTCTCGTTCCCGTCATAACTCGTACCAATGCCCACTCTTCCTGCATTAGGTGGCACAAAACGTGATACGTGATCGTGACATTATCGTGGACTTGACAAAGCGTAATCGAAATTTGCGCTAGATGCACCATAATTGGTTGGGGTCCATCTGAAGTTTGATGATACCGGAAGTTTTACCGATGTACGCCAGACACGGATACCTCGATGATCGTGTTTGGTATTGACCATGAACATTGCGCGATCGTTGAGGTGACAGTATTCGCTTGACCTTTCTATGGCGTCATGTATCCTTTGATGACCCTGAAATAGTCTGCCCAACTTCGCGGGCGTCAAGCTCAGAAACAAGAGTTCTTCAAAAGGACTGTGAAATGTGCGGAATGATTTTAAAGATGGCTGTCTTAGTTAAACAAGTGATATAAATGTGAAACACCCCCTTTAACACGTCCCAGGGGCCCTTCACCTTGGTGTCGGGCTCCCTTCGCTCGTGCGGAGGGCCCTACGCTGATGTTTTGATCTCATAAGTAACGTAACGAGGTCTTCGATGCTCAGAGACCCTCTGGATTGGTCTAACTCTCTTTTCATGTGCTCTCATTGCTGGTGGAGTCTGCACTCTTTCATTTCTCGGAGTCCTCTCTGTGAAACTGTTCCGGCTCTCTTGATCGCTCATGGGCCCACCAGTAGCCTTTCTCACAAAGAGTTGTTACAAATAGTTTGTATTTGTAAGTTGTAATTTAGAATGTACAAACTACAACTTCCAGCTGTTTCATAAAACTAACGAAGGTTGTAGAATTCTAGTTGTAAAATTCTGCGCCGTGTGTAATTTCTCAACGCTGGCCAATCTCAATCTCAATCTCAGTCTGGCCAATCTCACTGGCCTTACCAAGGACGTAAAAAAGTACGTCTGACCGTTTTTTAGCACCCCATACGCCCAACACTGACGTGACGTCACTGGAGTCTTGCCACAGCGAGACCAGCGCGCAACTCCGCACGATGCATATTACGATCTGGAGATTTGCGTTTCCGTTGGGTACAGCTGCATTGCATGTCAAATTTGCTGGGAAAGCCACCCTTTCTATCACCCGTTCGATGGTGTCATTTCGACAAGGACCAGCAAAGCACCCAGCTTCTGCCAAACTTAAGTGTTATAGCACCTTACTAAAAAGAATAACATTCAATTAGATGAATGTAGCGTGTGGTGCGCTTCTGTCACTTATATTTACAGGCAGCATTCTGGACCGACCTAACTCTGGACCGCACCTGGCCGTCCCTGCTCCAAGTCTGCGGCCGCCCTGACCCGCACACGCGACCGCGGCCGGGTCAGGTGGTCAATGGCCCGGAGGCGTGAACACGGCCGGCCGCGCCGGTTAAACGCTGACCGGGCCGACTGAATGTCCGGGAACCCATTGACCACCTCACTGACCATCTCATTCTAACATGCCACTGCCAAAATCACTTCAGAGGCATGTAAAATCTGCATTATTTACATGTTAAGGATGCAGCAGCATTATATCTAGTTCTACTTCAGGTGGCATTATATGCCTATGTGCAGACCCTGGTTTACTTCGGTCATGTATATTCAGTCAGCTCTCCTGAGCCAACTTAACACCCCGCCGTGAGGGCAGGGGCACCCGCACCCGGCTGTCGCTGCCCCCATTCTCGGGTCGCCCTGGCCCCCACACGCGACCTCGGCCAGGTCACGTGGTCAGTGGCCCGGAGGCATGGACCCAGCCGGCCACTCCCGTTAACCGCTGGCCGAGCTGCCTGAATGCCGGCCCGGGAGCCCACTGCTAATAGCCTACTACATACGGACAAGATGAAGCTAACTGAAAACAGCCAAAAGTTTACAGAGTAGGCAGAGCAACGTGAGATCTCACCTGTGTCAAATTTTGGTGTCCCTAGGTCGTGAATTTTAAGTCAAATAAGTTCAAGAGAGGTCAAACATCGGATCGGTATTCAAAGCGCCCTCAGATCGCTCCACGAAACCAGCCTTGATCTAGATACC